TTTTTATGTATTGATTTATTTTTGCTTTACAATAGGAGCTCCTTTTTAAAAAAAAGTTTAAACGCTGGAGCTCAATACTTGATGTAATTGGTCAAAGCAATCGGCCAACGGGGTTAGAGATGTAGAAATTATTTATGCTGATGAAGACTGACATCTAGTGGTCAGCTGGAGCAACTACATGGAAAACTTTAAAATCCAAGCTCTTATTTTGAAGGGAAGATAGTTTCCTGTACTCAGTGCTTTCGTTTCCCGTCACAAATCAAATCCGTCATGTACCCAGAATGCATCGCTTCAGTTTTCCAATAAACAGTTTTAAAATGACTTTATTGACGCTTCTTTAATGAAAAATCTACAACAAGCAAAAGAAAAAAAGACAAAGAAGCAGCCGAACTAGCAATCCTCAACAACTTTTTAAGTTTTACACCAGGAGCTAAAAGTCTGTTTCAGGAACTAACATCCCCAGCAATAAGCTGTAAAAGGGTGCGTACACTGCTAGTTGGCAGTGTTATGCATATGTTTTACATGAATTATTGCCATCTGGTAAGTGTCAAATTGAACATGTGCTTTAAAATTAGCTTCTGCTAGTCTTTTTATGGCATAAGTGCTTTTGAGGTTGTGGATCTAAATATTTACATGAGCACTTTAGATAAATGCGGATTTAATATTTGGATTAGTGCTGCCCACCACTGCTTTTCATATGTCTTATCAGGAGATAAAAGAGTGATTGTAACTGTAACTACCTGTGTGTCAGAAGCCATTGTTTTGTAGATCAAAAGGACAAAACCCGTTACCCACAATGCTAACATTTACTGAGGAACTTACACTGTCCTCCTGCCACCCATTTGATGCCGATCCACCAGAGCGTGAACATGCTGCAGTGGTGGTAGACGTGCAGGAAGGTCACCTGGTTGAATTTTTTCCTCAGGATGAAAAACACCGTGTCCAGATACTCAATGCCCTTAGAGACGAAATACCACCACAGTGCTCCTGCCATCTGGTTTTAAAACAATACGAGGGGTGGGTCAAACAGGGAGGGGCAGGTAAACAAACACAAAAAGAAAGCAAACATTAAAAAGGGATGAGGAGGAAACGAATACGCTGGAGTCAGATTTCTATCTTTAAATACAATCAGACGCGTCAGAGTCATCTGAGAACGGCGTCTTGCTGATTGGTGCGTCACTGCGTCATGGAGAAACGGGGAGGAAGGTGAAACTGAGCACCGATCTGATGTACAGGTCGCACTTTTTCTGATAACCACATAAATGAAAGCAGAGCCTGTTCCTAAAACCCGACAGTGAAGCTTCAGTGATAGGCTGGTACTTTGATAGCTCCGTCAAAGACCTGAATCTGTGTGCAAAAGTTAACAGAGGGGTTTGAATCCTTCATGAGGAGAGGTCATATCTGAGTTTATGATTTCCATAAGGTTGTGTGTATGTTTTCAATATGCTCACCCTGACTTCATTGGGGTCATCTGAATAGTCCACAGACTGACAAATGTAGCTGTATCTTGCTGCTCGCGCTGCCATGAACAGCTGAAAAACAAGAGGAACTGTGTTGAAACAGACTAAAATACACATGTACTGAGAGTAAAATGATGAGCGATAAATTTGGCCGAAGCAATAAATGATTCTGCCCTGAAATAACCGTACACTGCAATGACCAGCCACGGTGCAGGGAATGCTACAGAGGCAAAGACATCGCTGCCTTTTTGGAAGGTGCTACATGGTGTCGTCAGCAGTGGTGGGTGTGGTTACGCTAACAGCAGAACAATTTTTTTTAGCTTTTTCACTTATTTTGAAAAACATTAGCAGACCAATTATTAACTTCTGTTAAATTGGGTTTTGCCACTTTAAGTCCGTTAACAGCTAACCAACTAACTAATATCAACTGTATCAGTCTTCAGCTCAAAGGAGACGAAGATGGCGTAGACTGAATGACAATTGTCTTAGCGGTTAGCTGTTAGTGTTAGCTTCTGCTAATTTTGTTACATGTTTTGCAGTTTAACATTAGCAGAGTTATATGTGTTGTTGGCTGTATTTGCTGCAAACTTGGCAGAAAAACTTAAATTCAGCCAAGACCAGTGTTGTTACCATAGATTTTTTTTCTTTGGGACCTAAATGTCAAAGAAGGTGGTGTATTTGTTTATTTTTTTCAATGAAAATACTAGTTCAGGGGTCTGCAACCTGTGGCTCTTGGGCCACATGTGGCTCTTTGGTCCCTGTGCAGTGGCTCGTTGAAAATGTGACCAAACATAACAGAATGTTTTTTGCTGTTGCATAATGTTTTTTTAATGAATAAAGACCTGTTAGCTCATTCTAGCCTCTTGTTTACTTAAATAATTCAACTTCTTTCTATGATTTTTCTCTCAAATCCATCAGGCTTATCTTTAAATGTCTTCAAGACGACATAATAAGAAGAATTCGAAAAAACATATGCTTGAATAGTTCAGTTGTACTAATTTTTATGAAATTCGGCATAAACTACAGTATTTTTCTTGTTTACATGAATCTGGTCTTTTTATTTGTCCTGATGTGTAAAAATAATAATAAATAATAAAATTCACATAATATTGTGTAGTTTTATAATGTCACCTCCACTGGCCGTAAAGGTTCCTGAAAAGGCCTCCAAAAGGCCCAAGTACCAACAGTTGATAATCACAGTTGTAGCTTGTTTTGTGGCTCTGGACACATTTTATTAGAGAGCCAAGCAGCAGAAATGGCTCTGATGATTGTAAAGGTTGCAGACCCCTGTACTAGTTTAATCCTCTGTAATAGGACCTCTGAGGGTAAACATATAGCAGCAAACAGACGTTTTCAATATTGTTCGCATGTTGCCTTAATAATAGGCATTGTGTATTACCTTTCTTATGGGTAAATTATATGTGCTGAAGAATATATGGAAGTGTTAAATGAACACTATTGGTGTTGATTTAACACTAAACTCAACACTAATAATGCTAATTTAACACTGCCGTACAAATATAGTACAGCCCTTGCTGTGCAGTGTGTAGGCTAGACAGAACTTCAGTTATTCACACCTAAACACTGAAGGGCTTGTTCTGTAACACTGAATATTCCCCTAATTATTACAAAAAATAACTGATTTACATACAGCGGGTAAAATAAGTATTTAACATGTCACCATTTTTCTCAGTAAATATATTACTAGAGGTGCTAATGACATGAAATTTTCACCAGATGTCGGTAACAACCCAAGTGATCCATACATACAAAGAAATCAAACCATAAATGTCCAGAAATGAAGTTATTTGTAATAATGTGGAATGACACAGGGAAAAAGTATTGAACACATGAAGAAAAGGAGGTGTAAAAAGGCATGGAAAGCCAAGACACCAGCTGAACTCTCTCAGTAATTAGAAAGCAAGCCTGCACCTTGTCAGTGCAAGTTAATATCAGCTGGTTCAGTCCCAAATGATGGCCAGGTATCACACAAGAACCATCTGATGATGGGTAAAAGTAAAGAGCTCTCTCAAGACCTTCACAACCTTATTGTTGCAAAGCATAATGATGTCATCGGTTACAGAAGAATGTCTAAACTTCTGAAGGTTCCAGTGAGCACTGTTGGGGCCATAATTCAGAAGTGGAAAGAACATTATTTCACCATAAACCGACCATGACCAGGTGCTCCTCACAAGATTTCTGACAGAGGAGTGAAAAGAATTATCAGAAGAGTTGTCCAAGAGCCAAGGACCACTTGTGGAGAGCTTCAGAAAGACCTGGAATTAGCAGGTACGTTTGTTTCAAAGAAAACAATAAGTAATGCACTGAACCACCATGGCCTGTATGCACGCTCACCACGCAAGACTCCACTGCTGAAGAAACAGCATGTTGAAGCTCCTTTAAAGTTTGCTGCACAACATTTAAACAAGCCTGTGTAATACTGGGAGAATAGAGTCTGGTCAGATGAGACCAACATTGAACTGTTTGGATGCCAGAATACACATCATGTTTGGAGGTCAAATGGCACTGCACATCAGCCCAAAAACACCATACCAACAGTGAAGTTTGGAGGTGGGAACATCATGGTGTGGGGCTGTTTTTCAGCATATGGTACTGGCAAACTTCAAATAATTGAAGGAAGGATGAGTGGAAAAATGTACAGAGACATTCTTGATAAAAATCTGCTTCCATCTACCAGGATGATGAAGATGAAACGTGGCTGGACATTTCAGCAAGACAATGAGCCCAAACACAAAGTCAAGGAAACTCTCAGTTGGTTTCAGAGAAAGAAACTAAAGCTGCTGGAATGGCCCAGCCAATCACCTGACCTGAATCCAACAGAAAATCTATGGAAAGAACTAAAGATCAGAGTTCATAGAAGAGGTCCACGAAACCTTCAAGATTTGACGACTGTTTGTGGAAGAATGGGCCAAAATCACACCTGAGCAATGCATGCCACTAGTTTCTCCATACAGGAGGCGTCTTGAAGCTGTCATTGACAACAAAGGCTTTTGTACAAAGTATTAGATAAATTTCAGAAAGTGTGTTCAATACTTTTTCCCTGTGCCATTCCACATTATTACAAATAACTTCATTTCTGGACATTTATGGTTTGATTTCTTTGTATATATGGATCACTTGGGTTGTTACCAACATCTGGTGAAAATTTCATGTCATTAGCACCTCTAGTAATATATTTACTGAGAAAAATGGTGACGTGTTCAATACTTATTTTACCCGCTGTGTATTGAAGCCATTAAATGAACAGACACTGGTAGCAGAGCTTAGACAAATATAATGTAGTTTATCACACAAAGTGAAGTTATGTGCTGATCAAGTTAGAATGATTACAGCCCTCTGATGGTGCTTGACCTGACTTATTGAGAGGCTCATTATTACTGATTGTTCTTGTCTCCTGCTTTCACAGTAAAAATCTTATATGTTTATTGAAGTAAATAGAGTCTAGTTCTAAGCATTTTTTAACTGACTTGATCATACAGCCAAGGTGTTCTCAGTGTCAGGCTTCAATATAGAGTAATAAAGCACCTAACAAGATGGTGGTCACAAATCTCACCTTGCACCATCGACGGCCATTTCACTGCATTTTTATTTCAGTGGGAACATAAAAGGAATTTGCACAGATTGCCAGGAAAACAGCTAACTGAGCACAGACCTCTTTAAAGATGAAGAAGTTGAGGAAAACCATGCCGAAGTTGTAGACGACGAGGGTCCTGCGGAGCTGGAAGGCCTCTCTGTTCTTCATGTATTTGGGCCCCAGCCAGAGGAAGAGCAGGTAGGAGGTGCTGATGGCCAGCGTGGGAAGGGGGTTGTCCATCAGAGGCCATTTCTCCACTCGCTTGTCTGCGGGGGGGCAGACGTTAAGTTCATATACGTATTCTCAGGGTCAGGGTTAATTAATCCAGTCAAACCTGAGAGGTCAGCTGCTCAGACAAACAACTATATTATTATAATCTGCTGCTGAAGAGGGTGAAATGTTTTTGCCCATGTCTCTGTATGTGTGTGAAAATGTGTCTGTTAGCCAAATATCCCATAAACCAGTGGATTTTGTTATTGTATTTTTATTTTATTGTATTATTTTTTTTTTGCAATACATGGAGATGTTTGGGGCTGTGTATATATATGTGCGTACATGTGTGTATGTATACATTTATGTGTGTATGCATTTACACTGCATGTAGATGTACTTTTACGTTCATGAAAATATTCTAGTATTATTTAAAATTCTAGGTAAACAGATTGTTGTTTTAATCTTTATGAAATTGCAACTTAGAATAAGAAAAAAAGAAGAATTTACTATTATTTTTTGTTAACAAGCTTCGGAGAAGGGTGGGATTAAATAAGTTTTTGACTTCTTCCCATTCCTTTTCAAATATGTTAATTTTGTTAATTTTGTTATCACTTTTCATCATTTTTTTGTATACATTTGAAACTAACTAACTAACTAACTAACTAACTAACTAACTAACTAACTAACTAACTAACTAACTAACTAACTAACTAACTAACTAACTAAGTAATCAATGGATGTATGTCTACCGATAAACTTCTGGAGTCAGTTCATTTCTACTACATATGTTGAGCATAAATGTAATGCTTTATGTAAAAAGTAGACACATAAACAATAGACAATCTGTTGATTTAAACAGACTTAAAAGCAAAATAAAAGTATTTATTTTGCATGTCACTGTGGAGATTTTTCTTCCTGGAATATGAGCAGAATAATAAATAATACAGCTTCACCTAAATGCACTGCTGATACAAAAGAGAAGTTTTTTAGATTCATTTCTGAAAAAACTGATTCTATAACACAAACACCACACAACTGTAAAAAGGGATGCTAGCTGCTAACACTCTTAGAGGTGTAAGTTACAAATGAAGCTGACATGACTTGAAGTCAGATTGTCTACAAATACTTTAAAAATAGGATTTATTTATGAAGGTAATAATTGTTGGAAAGTATCGGTGTGCCTTATTCTTGGTACATAATTGAAAATAGAAACGATATTACTATTATTATAAAGTGGGACATGGCAAAAAAATTGAATTCAAGCAAATCAAGACTTTGAAATAAATTTAAAGTATTAAAAATATCTACAAAACATAGCACAAAAATCAGTAAATTTGTGTTTGGTAAATGATTTCTTTATTGTAACAATGCTTCTTAGCAATAAATCTTACATGGTTAGAAAGCCTGTTAATTTCCCTTTTACATGGTGCCGCATTTGCAAGGAACATGCACTTGTGGGATGAGCAGAAGTAGCAGAGAGTCGATCAGGACGCTTACTGTGAGCGTGATCTGTCTGACATGAAACCAGATGATGTACTGACTCGTGACAGAGGAGAAAGTAAAGAAGCTGTGCATACATCCAGGCTTTATTTAAGCTGCTTACCTGCAATAGTCAGGGTCCATTTGTAGAACTCTATGGTGTCGTTGATTAAATGCGTGACGATCTCCATGGCTGCGGGGGGCTGAAATCAAACAAGACAGGTGTGAAAGTGGAGCACACCACCGAGTCAGGTATCTAATGTCCTATCTTTATTTTCCACACTGTTTTGCATTATTAAATCTGAACTAAACCGACCATGAATCAACCAAAACAACAGAGGCCTGCTGTAAACAGACCAATAAGGCCTTGGTGGATGAAATGAAAACAGAGGAAAATCCACTTATATCCACTAAAAGAAGACATCTGGATTGAAACAAACTGATCAGTAGCAGTGCCGCACACTGAGGAGCATGGTATGATTTAATGATCCTAAACCCTCCTCCTCCTCTTCCTCACACAGAGGATCAGAGCTGCTGCAGCATCTGAGCGATCATCACCAACATAAAGAAACTGATCATCTATATTTTTCTTTTTAATAACTGTGACACGTGTTAAAGATAAGAGTTGCAGGAACCCGTGTTTACTAGAATATTCTCCCCCAGGATGCAGCACTGGGGCCTTAAAACTGCTCCAGCAGGCCTATAATTTTAATCGAGTTTGAATAATTATAATAATGATAATAAAGATGATGACGATAAATGATGTGAGCTCCTTCCATCTCAAATGCATTTCTCTCAGAAGACATGTGGCCTGATCCGCTCGGTGTCATTTGTTTGACAGAACGGAACACAATAGGTTTAATGATGAGGATGCTCTTCACCTTACCGATCGGCTGCTTCTGTTTCTAAATAAATCCCGTCTTTTATTAAGACCAGCTTCCTGTTCGTGCGCTGCTTCTGATCGAGTTTTCAATCGGTGACTAAACAGAAACGAAGATTTTAAAAAAGAAAAAAGGCCGCTGAATGAATTAGTCGTTAAGGTACCATATTACTCTCCTCCAGAACCAGACTGCTTCAGCGATCTGAGCCTCGGATGCCTGACAGGCGGAGTGAAGGCACACAGACCTGCACACGGCATTTCTGGTCATACTTTCAAAATAAGACGGAGAAGATTGTTTTCTTCAAATTCATCCATTTTTTTGTAATATATACTAAAAAGACCAACAAAAAAATACACTTGCTTTCACTAACATTATATTAGATTTGGATTATATCTTACATTTTATGTAGAAATAAAAATCATACTTGTGATTGTGGCAAGCAAATTTGTCATATAACAGACAGAATTTCACTTATTTCTGCAGCTGAAGTATGAGGAGTCTACAGGTGGGAGACGGGGTGCACCTTGGACATGTCAGTAGTTTACAACAAGGTCACAAAGAGACACACACAGTTATGGTCAACTAAAAATAGCCTGCATGCTTTGGGACTGAGAGAGAAAATAAAGATACCTGGAGCAGGTACAGGTTTCATACTGGGGTGCACTTCATACAGACAGATCACTGCTGAGGTTCTATGTGGTTTTCTATCTGTGAAGAGGCAGCACTAACCACCTAAACACCATGCAGCT